TGTCCTTTAGGGACAGGGACACCAGGGCAGTGTGACCCCATGGACACTGGGACAGGGTGACCCCATGGACAGGGACACCATTCCCAGGACAGGCACACCATTCCAGGACAGTGACACCATTCCCAAGGCATGGAAATGTCAGGAATTCCTTCCTGACCAGGAATTCCTCCCTGATCCGACCCCATTCCCAGGGCAGGGACACCATTCCCTGGACAGGGACACTATTCCCAAGACATGGAAATGTCAGGAATTCCTCCCTGACCGGGAAGAGCTCCCTGATCCGACCCCATTCCCAGGGCAGGGACACCATTCCCAAGGCATGGAAATGTCAGGAATTCCTTCCTGGCCGGGAAGAGCTCCCTGATCTGACCCCATTCCCAGGACAGGGACACCATTCCCAAGGCATGGAAATGTCAGGAATTCCTCCCTGATCCGACCCCATCCCTCTCCCCCCAGGAGATACTGCGACAACCTGGGCTCCCGCCCCCTGAGCACAGCAAATTTCGGGAAGATCATCCGGGAAATCTTCCCCAACATCAAGGCCCGGCGCCTGGGGGGCCGAGGACAGTCCAAATATCCTTCCCTGCCTCCGGAATTCCCGGGTTTTCCCGGATTTTTTTGGTTTTTCCCTCGATTTTTTTGCCCCACTCGTTTCGTGGCTTCGCAGGCGTCGGGTCCCGGGGGGTTTGGGGGGTTTTGGGGGATCCCTGAAGGTGTCCTGGGGGACATCTCCCTTTTTTTTTGGGGGTTTTTTGGTTTTTTTGGGGGATTTTTTTGGAATTTTTGTTGTGGTTTTTTTTTTAATTTTTTGGGGGATTTTTTGTGAATTTTTGGGGATTTTTTGCGAATTTTTTGAGATTTTTTGGGGGAATTTTTGGGATTTTTGGGGATTTTTTGCAAATTTTGGGGGTTTTTTTGGGGATTTTTGGAGAATTTTTGGGGTTTTTTTGGGGGATTTTTGGGGGCTTTTTGGGGAATTTTTTGGGGGGATTTCTTGTGAATTTTTGGGGGGATTTTTTGGGAATTTTTGGTGGATTTTTTGTGGATTTTTTGCAAATTTTTGGGGGTTTTTTGGGGGGATTTCTTGTGAAGTTTTGGGGGATTTTTTGGGAATTTTGGGGGGTTTTTTGGGGGAATTTTTTTGGGATTTTTGGGGAATTTTGGGGGATTTTTTGGGGGCTTTTTTGGGGAATTTTTTGGGGGGATTTCTTGTGATTTTTTGGGGGATTTTTTGCGAATTTTTTGGGGGATTTTTTGCAAATTTTTGGGGGATTTTTTGGAATTTTTGGGGGGATTTTTGGGGGATTTTTTTGCAAATTTTTTGGGGGTGATTTTTTGCGAATTTTTTGGGGGGATTTCTTGTGAATTTTTGGGGGGTTTTTTGGGGAATTTTTGGGGGGGATTTCTTGTGAATTTTTGGGGAATTTTTGGGGGATTTTTTGGGAATTTTTGGGGGGTTTTCTTATGAATTTTTTTTTTTTTTTTTGGGGGGGGGGTTGGGGTGTATTTATTTGGAATTTTGGGGCGTTTTTGGGTCTGGGGGGGCTCCCGGAGGGTTTTTTTGGGCCCATTCCCGTGGCAGGAAAATCCCTTGACGGTTCCCAACGTACTGTTACGGGGGGATCAGGAGGAAGACCGTGGTCAGCCTTCCTCCCCTGCCCAGCCTCGACCTCAAAGTCACTGAGACTGTGAGTTCTGGGGGGTTTTGGGGGGGGTTTTTTGGGAATTTTTTTTGGAATTTTTTTGGGGGATTTTTTTGGGGGGGCTTTGGGGGTTTATTTGGAATTTTGGGGAATTTTTGGGGGGATTTTTGGGGGTTTATTTGGAATTTTGGGGCGGTTTTGGGTGAGGTTTTGGGGGGGTTGGGGGGTCCTGGGGGTCTGGGGCATTTTGGGGGGATTTTTTGGGGGAATTTTGGGGAATTTTTGGGGGGGATTTTGAGGGGTTTATTTGGAATTTTGGGGAGGGGGTTTTGGGGGGATTTATTTGGAATTTTGGGGCGTTTTTGGGTGAGGTTTTGGGGGGGAGTTGGGAGGGTTTGGGGGGTCCTGGCAGGGCTTGGGGGGCATCAAAGGGGGGCTGGGGGGGTCCTGGGGGTCTTGGGCATTCGGGAGGATTTTTTGGGAATTTTTTGGGGAATTTTGGGGGATTTTTTTTAGGGATTTTTTGGGGGTTTATTTGGAATTTTGGGGCATTTTTGGGTGAGGTTTTGGGGAGGTTGGGAGGGGGAAAAGGGGGACTGGGGGGGTCCTGGGGGTCTTGGGCATTTGGGGGGATTTTTGGGGGAATTTTTTTGGGAATTTTTTTGGGGATTTTTTGGGGGGATTTTGGGGGATTTTTTGGGGAATTTTTTGGGGGATTTTGGAGGGATTTTTTTGGAATTTTGGGGGGGATTTTTGGGGGTATTTTGGGGAATTTTTTGGGGTATTTTGGGGGGATTTTTTAGGATTTTTTTGGGTGATTTTTTGAGGGGATTTTAGGGGATTTTTTAGGAATTTTTTTGGTGATTTTTTGAGGGGATTTTGGGGGATTTTTTGGGGGGATTTTTTGGGGAATTTTTTTGGGTATTTTGGGGGGGATTTTTTTGGAATTTTGGGGGGGATTTTTTGGGGGGATTTTGGGGGATTATTTGGGGAATTTTTTGGGGTATTTTGGGGGGATTTTTTAGGATTTTTTTGGTGATTTTTTGAGGGTATTTTGGGGGGATTTTTTAGGATTTTTTTTGGTGATTTTTTTGAGGGGATTTTGGGGGATTTTTTAGGAATTTTTTGGGGGAATTTTTTGGGGTATTTTGGGGGGGGATTTATTTTGAATTTTGGGGCGTTTTTGGGGTCTGGGGGGGGTCTCCCATCCCATTTTCCCCCCCTCCAGCAGCAGTCAGAGCTGTCAGAGCTGGTGCAGTCCTACCCCAGCGAGGTGATGGAGGCCGCCTGCGCCCTGACCTGCGACTGGGCCGAGAAGATCCTCAAACGCTCCTTCAACAACATCGTGGAGGTGGCTCAGTTCCTGCTCCAGCAGCACATCATCAGCTCCCGCTCGGCCCACGCTGACCTGCTCATGGCCATGGTGGTCTCAGGTGGGTGGGGGGTCACCCTTGGGCCCCACGGTGGTCTCAGGTGGGTGGGGGGTCATCTCTGGGCCCCACGGTGGTCTCAGGTGGGTCAAGGACCAGCCCTGGGCCCCACGGTGGTCTCAGGTGGGTGGAAGAGCAGTTCTGGGCCCCATGGTGGTCTCAGGTGGGTGGGGGACCAGCCTCAAAAT